TTAAGGCAATGACAAACAAAATTTGACCGACTAATCTCTCATAGGACACATGGCATTGAGAAATTCAACAGCAACAGAGACCACAGAATGCGGATGAATAACAGCGTTCAATTCGTGTAATTAAACTCGAATTCGGCCTTCTTGGCGAAAATTTCATCAATAATAAGTTATGATTAATGGCACATAGAATAATTTATTAGTGTTATTTTGTATTCGTTTCAGTTACTTCACCCGTACGTCGCAGAAGGCGAGAGCATAGCAGAGAAATCTTTCAAGCTTTTCTGTATCATTTATTCGAACAATTCCTAAAGCTTTATACCAAGAGTGGTCGCCAAATTCTGTACGGCGGCCTTGGCACTCAAGATGGCATCGTTAACACCCACGCCATCATAAGAGTTTCCCGCCAGTGACACCGGTAACTTGTGTTGGTCGATGAGCCGCCGCGCCGAGGCGACCACCTCAGTGTGCCCCACCACATACTGGGGGATGCACGCGCGCAGCACCTGCGTCCGCCACGCGCTGGGGTGATCACTGATGCCTAAAGTGGAGCGTAGTTCATCAATAGCCGTGCTTAATAGCTTCTCTTCGCTTGGATGTGTGCCAAATAAAGAGTTGAACCAGTATCCACCCATCATCACAGTCAGTACAGTTTTGTTTGCCTGAGGGAAGGTACACGTGTCAAAAATGACGCCTAAAACTTTAGAAGGTTCGCAACTAGGCACCAGGTAGCCGAACGCTGGCTGCGTCACTAGGTCGCTTCGGTCGTACGCCAGGTTGACGACCGCCACGGTAGCGAAGGGGATCGCGTTCAGGAGTTGCGCAAGGTCTTTGCTAAGGTTGCCACAAACCGATGCTGCTTGGGAACAAGGCAGACACGATATCACATGATCAGCAGATATCTCATTGCTGCCAAAAGATATTTTCAAGCAGCGGCCATTTTGAGAAAGTTTATTCACAGGATGACCTAGTCTTATATCAACACCTCTGTCAACAACGTCGCGTTCCAAAGCCTTGATTAGAGTTTCAATTCCTTCTTGCAGAGACCAAACTGCCCATTTTTCCTTGCGTGCTTTCTTAACCATGGGGTGAGTGAGCACGGAATCGCGACTCCGTTGTGTGAAAACATCAAAACAAGCGCCTTTGATAACACTGCCATGCCGCTGCTCATAAGCGTGCAGGCTTTTAGCCAAAGATTTGACGCTGAGTTCCCGAGCGTTCCCCGCGAAGACGCCTCTCGCCAGTGGATCTATGACGTAAGTTGCAACCTCCCGACCGAACCGGCGGTTCACGAAGCTGTACAAAGACTCGTCGCAATTACAAACTTTTTCCGAGCGCAAATCTTGTAGCAGGGCAACCAGCAGAGGCTTGGTGAAGGGCGGGGTCTTCTTCAGAGCAGTGCTCAGGCTGCTGGGGAGTCTGTGCAGCGCGCCGTTTACCTGGGCAGGGAGAGATATCAGCATGTTGACAAGGACAGTGATATTCATAGCCACACAGCCACATACACACCGCTTTTTCAAGATATTGTATTAAACGCAATACTTGAATGCACGCATGCCCCACAATAACAAAGATACACTTATGAAGTTTTACAATAAATCACTCACCTTGATCATACGGTTCATGGTGCTATAGGGAATGTCAGGCCATCACTTTCCTTGATCATACGGTTCATGGTGATATAGGGAATGTCAGGCCATCACTCACCTTGATCATACGGTTCATGGTGATATAGGGAATGTCAAGCATCACTCACCTTGATCATACGGTTCATGGTGATATAGGGAATGTCAGGCCATCACTCACCTTGATCATACGGTTCATGGTGATATAGGGAATGTCAGGCCATCACTCACCTTGATCATACGGTTCATGGTGGTAGGATGGCCGTAGGAGACGCTCCGTATTTTCCCCTCCAGTCCCAAGTCATGGGCCAGCACCAGCGTGTTGGCTCCTGCAGTCCCGGCAGCTCTGAACAACTTAGAGACTTCAACTTTTACAATGATGTGGATTGTGCATTTAAGATTGTGCACTCATCAAGAATGATAAGCATTAGTTCATAGGGATGATGTGCCCCTTAGGTGACAAGAATGAAGAGCATTTATTCATAGGGATGATGTGCCCCTTAGGTGACAATAATGATAAGCATTAGTTCATAGGGACGATGTGCCCCTTAGGTGACAAGAATGATAAGCATTAGTTCATAGGGATGATGTGCCCCCTTAGGTGACAACAATGATGAGCATTTATTCATAGAGATGATGTGCCCCTTAGGTGACAAGAAAAAAATGTATGCATTCAGGTGATAGTAAAGATGAGCATATAGGAGACTGATAACATATTTGTTCATGAGTGAGAAAATTTGAAAGATATGCATTTAAAAATGAATGAACATAATAAGGTACTAATGCATAAAGACACAAGACAATACAGTCCTCATTTGAATAGCTAGTCCTCAACATTAGCATGAAAGGAAAAGTTGCTGGCATCAAAAATAAATAAGGAATATAATTTTGTTTGAATTTTCACATGCCACAGACATAGCATGTGTTCTTCATTCAGTTCTAATACAGAACACACCTCATCTAACAGGCATGCCTCACATACATAACACATCTCATGTACAGGGTGATTCATGGAAACTTCTTGTTTTGTATTTTGTGCCAAGCAGCCAGATGTTGTAGGAGAAGCCTGGGGATTATTTCATATGAAAGGCAAGACCATGAAGTTTTGTGACCAGCCTAGTCAGTTGGCACTATCATAAATCAATTGATGGGTGAACACATTTATACTTTTATGGGGTTATCTTAAATCAATTGTTAACATAACTGTCCAAGGACCCTACCTCATTTGAAGAACAAAATATACCAAGCCATCAGCATTATACCCATTAATATGCTTCAGTGAGTTGAACAGAACTACAAAAATTGACTACTTAACTGAATGCATTGACATAGGGGGCCATCATTTGTCCAATGTCATATCAATAACAAAGTAATAAATTCAGGTGATGTCTTTTTCAACAAAATTTTTATTGTAATGATGTCTTTACTAGTTCTTTTTTATTGAGCTTTCAAATTAGGGAGTTTCTGTGAATCACCCTGTACAAAGCATGCCTCACATGCAGAACAAACCTCATATACAAGGTATGCCTGAGCCTCACACACAAAATAAACCTCATATACATGGCAAGCCTCACATGCATAACACACCTCATATACAAGGCATGCCTCACATACATAACACACCTCATATACAAGGCATGCCTCACATACATAACACACCTCATATATAATGCATACATAACCCACCTGAGAGTTCTAGGTCCAGCTTCAAGCAGGACACCTGAGTCATGCTGAACAGATTGCATCCAGCCCCCAAGACGAAGTGACCCCTCAATGAGGCAGACACTGGCCACAGCTGAGCTGGGCAGCAGCGTCCTGATGTAGTGACTGGCTGCAAGGCCAGCAACACCTCCTCCTAACACAACAACCTTGGCCATCTGTGTCCTGACTGCCTGCTCAGTGGGAAATTATTCCATGGCTTATGTGTCCCAGTGATTACAGTTCAGAGTACCAGGATTGGAGTAGAGTGGAGCAGGCTTGATCCCAGTTTTGTGCACCAGTTTCTGGACAGAATTGGCAAGAAGGCTGGGTGGTTGAGCAATGAAAAATTGGAGCAGTGAGTTTGAGACCTCAACAAAGCACAAGCTGTGAATGTCCTGCAATGTTAGGAATCAGCAACAGACCTTCAGGGCTACAGCCTAATAAATGCTGAAACTGTTATTGTTATTATTTAGTTAAATCCTGGAACTGCTCCTTAAAAGAGTAGAGCAAATACAGTTTTTCTCTTAAAAGGGTAGAGCAAATACAGCTTTTCTAAGAAATTCTTATACATCCAAAATAGCCTATTGGTAGTATTTAGCAGATATGTTATGATCGTTATCTGACATATGTAATCATTCAAATGACATTTACAGAGAAGGTAAAATCAAAATGTCACTTGGTCCATATCCATAAAAGAAGATTTGAATGGTCAGGCAGGTCAGCTTTACTAATGATTTGTGGAAAATAGGTTTTTGGAAGTTTAGGATTAAAGTTTAAACAAGCTTGGGCCCCATTCAAGATTTTATTCACTAAAAATTGGTAAATGTTTTCAACTAATAGCACCCTAGCTAGCAGTGGTAGCTGGTAAGCAGCCTAGCAGGTAACATCCAAGATGTAAATGAAATGAAGCAATACAAAAAAAAGAAAAAAAATATTAATCTACATCTAAATTGTTAGAGATGTTAGATCATGCTCATAGCCTCATAGGTGATTCTGATGATAAAATGGTGACAAACTGGAGAATTTTTAGAATCAGTTCATAACTGTTCATTTATAATTTCCTCATTTCCTCAAGCCTCAAGATTTAAACCAATTTTCTTATTTCTTATCTATGATAAACCTGGTATTCATGAACATGATTAGCCTACTGGTCTACTTAACTGGCCTTAAGTACTTATAAAGTGAGTTATAACTATCAAAAATGAACTTGAGAATCTAAAAAAGCTTAGGCACTGGGAGCCTGGACACTAGGGTCTGACCGTCTGGGGAGAAGGAGAGCCTGAGAGACAAAGTCCGCACTCTGCACAGAGATCATGAGAGATGAGCTGATCACAGACTCACACTCTCACTGTCTCACAGTTCACTGGACAGTCTAGACTGAGTAGAGTACCTAGCTTAACCTCATTTGAACTTTGGAGCAGTCTATCAGAGGTGCAAAAGGAAAGAGGCTCAGGCTCAACGGTGAACGGTCTAATCTGACTCTGAGCCCTGAGCCTCCTGAGGTTTGGAAATATTAGTCTCAGAAACAGATAAATCACTTAATAAATGTTCTTCAGGCCACACATTGTTTACACAATTACACTCACATGCTTATCTACGTATAACATACGAATATTATGATACGAGTGCAATTATTTATTGCTATACATGTCAAAAAGTAAGTTGCAATTGAATAGACTGCCTAACTAAGACTGGTGGCGGTGCAGTGGTGCTGTAGTGGTGCAATAGAGCAAGTCCAATCTACATCTACGTGCTGCACCTGCACACGTGAGAGGCCTGCCTTCAACCACGTCCAATTCTTTTTTACAACACTTCTCTTTAACTTCACTTCTTGTTTGTCTGTCTGTCTGTCTGCTATAAATCTTATAATCGATATTTAACACACTTCTACCTGTCCAATCGATTTGAAATTTGGGCCATTTGGCACACTTGCGTAAAGTTTGAGACAATGCATGAATCAATTGACAGAATAAATAATTTTATAAATTAAAAATTTTTTTTTCAATATTAAAAAAAATAATTTCGTCTCCTACAAATCTTATAATCCAATTATGACAGTAATGACACATATTGACCTGTCCAATTGATCTGAAATTTTGCACAATTGCATAAAGTCAGGGACAATGCATGAATCAATTGACAGAATAAATCATTTTTTAAAATTTACAAAATTTTGATATCTTAAAAAAATTTGAAGAATAATTTTTTTTTCAATATTTGAAAATGAAATTCATTGTACAATGTACATCATACATTACATGTGTAACATCCAAGATACTGGATTGTTCAGAATTGTTGTCTTTAAAAAGCAATTTTTAAACGCATATTATTACATCTCTAAGCGTAAGCACCTAAGCACCAACCATCACATGGGGAGTGCAGCCGTTCACCACAAATTTTGTACACCAATAAGCCCTGAATCAAACGCCTTGGATCTTTCCGGATATCCACCAATCAGCCGTGAATGGAATCTGCTATCCGTAACCGATCATTGACATCCTTCTGCTTTGAATATTTTGAGCTCCACACCCCCCAGACACGAGGTCGAATAGCCTAGGGTCAAATAGCCGTCCACCACTGAACGTTGCGTCGAAGCATCATTTCATACCCTGGCCACCGCTCGAATTGCAATGTGCGCGCAACAGCCTGCGACCACTTGGATTTGCCCACCTCCTGCCTCGCATAAAACCTGCCGGTGCCGTGCACCACCAGGCCGTCGGTCGAAAGAGCTGTGCGACTGGCTAAGTCAGGTTAGGTTAGGTTAGGTTGGGTTAGCACCCGGCTGGAGCGTTCTACCCGCGGGCGTTCGACCGAGGGCTGGTTCGACGCACTGCCTAGATACGGACGGCTTGGTGGCGGATATCACATTCGCTGCAAGGCTCCGGATAGGCCATTCGATCGCCGGCTGTTTCTCCTGAGGGCTGATTGGTCTAATTCAATTGATTCGTTCTGTCTGGTGGCTTTCGGCTGCCTATATGATTATCCAGAAGTGTTGAAGGCTACGTTCCGGAGGGCAGGAGTCATGATAGTCCATTACATCCAGGGCAGTGGTGGTCTTCGGCAGGCTTCCCCATCACATGATGCATCAGCGACTACCGACTACAACTGTTCTTTACAGGCATGTCACCCAAAATTGACATACCGCATAACGGATATGGTATTTTTGCGGAAAACATGAGTCATAGCCGGATTGCAACAAACGCTCATCAGGTTAAAGAAAATTTAGTTTTTTTAGAAGTTTATTTTAATTTAAAAGCTTTCAAACAGTGCAAGCATATGGAATATAAGAATTACAAGCCAGTAAATACATATTTTAGATTTGCAACCTGCAAAATACAAATGCTCAAAAAAGGGATTTACATTTTTCCAACTAGGCTTTAGCAAAATTATTTTTCGCACACACGAGAAGCTTCAACATTGAACACTTATTTGCTGAACAATATTTAAGACGAGAAGGTTAGAGGCAGTTACGCGTCTTGGGGTAGCCCTGTCACCATCTCGGACTCGATGCCGCAGTGGTCAGACCCACGGAGTATTTTGAAGAAGCCCTGATCACCCCAGTCCGTGTTCCACGAGTTGGCACACAGCCAATACTTGACTCCATTCTCCTCCCCCCATCCCAACACACGGATGGCATGACCACCCAAGAACTGACCGTGGGTGTGTTTGTAGACTCCGCTCTTATAGTGAAGAAAGTCCACATATACCGAGAATGCACCCTCCACGGGTCCGTTGGTCATGATCTCGTACATGATCTGCATTTCATCATTGGCCAGACTGTAGGACTTCTTCCCCTTGTGCAGGTCATGTTTGTAGTCCACGCTGTAGCCTGGCTCGCATTCTTTCTGACACTTGGGAGTTCGCCCCCCCTCCTCACACGCGGGCCGTGCACCAGGCACGTGGTGCTCACAGGGCGCGATGGCGTAGGGCTGGCAGCCCTGGGAGCTGTTGAAGGGGCCGCCCGATACGATACCACCATGCACCCAGTAGAGGAAGGCACCGCCTGGCATGCCGCCGTTGCAGCCCGCGCCGCACATGTGGCAGCAGCTCACAAGGTCCTCGGCCGAGTAGTGGAAGTTGAGGGCGCCGTTGCTGTGGATGCAGGTCCTGTCCGACATCACCTCCACCGCACCGAACGCCTGCAACCAAAAGAAGGTTAAGCACCTACAATGGACTGATGGTGACAGCAATTCACAATGATGGTGCACAAGAAACCATTTTTATGGTGATGATGGTGCACAAGAGACCAAAACTATGGGGTCATCACAACATAATCATTAAACGACTAAGTCAGTGACTCATGGTATGAATATGTTGACATCACGACTGAGTCTAGAGTCCAGAGTCTTACATATGTTGCCATCACGACTGAGTCAAGAGTCTCGTATCATACATATGTTGCCATCACGACTGAGTCAAGAGTCTCGTGTCATACACATTGCCATCACGACCGAGTCAAGAGTCTTGCGTCATACACATCGACATCACGACCGAGTCAAGAGTCTTGTGTCATACACATCGACATCACGACCGAGTCAAGAGTCTTGTGTCATACATATGTTGCCATCACGACCGAGTGGGTGACTCACCCAACATGACCCACATGACCCCTGGTCACGGATCTCCCCCAAAGTGGGACAGTGGGGCCAGGCCTTCCTGGAGTCGAACTCCTTGGGGAGGCTGGGGAGGTTGTGGTACTCGTGTCTGGGGGGCAGCATGTACCGCGACCCCGGCAACACCCCCATCAGCCGCCTGAGGTAGCGCATCGGCGTCCGTCTGTGGAAGTTGCGGCCCGCCTGTACCACCGAGAACATATTTATTATATTATACGTATTTATATTATGCGTACTTACGACCCACATGTACCACCGAGAACATATTTATTATATTATACGTATTTATATTATGCGTACTTACGGCCCGCCTGCACCACCGAGAACATATTTATTATATTATACGTTGACATTATGCGTCTTTACATTATACCACTATATATTATAAATCCTTACATAAGTATTAATGCCACTAGATTTCTTAAATCTCAAATTCGCTAGAAATTTAAATGCGAAGAAAACTCCACACAAATTTGCCATATTTCTATTGAAAACGTTTCAGAGTCGAGCTTCGTCGTCAGTTTAAAAAATCTAGAACAAAGATGCACTATACGTCCATACATCTTACGTTTTTACATTATACATTCTTACATTATTATGCATTCTTACATTATAGTCACTCACATTATTCGCCCTTATAAAATACGTCACCACGCTATACCACCTTATATTATACGTACTTACGTTATACGTCCTCACACTATAACTCCTTACATTATACTTCCTTACGTTATAACTGCACTGCTGCAGTTGTGTTAACTGCAGCACTCTTTCCACTAGGTGGTTTGTTTGACATCAATACACCAACAAACACTCATTCCACTAGGTGGGTCGAGACATCAATGCACCAACAAACTTTCATTCCACTAGGTGTGTTGTGAGACACCAAGGTACCAAAAAACACTCATTCCATTAGGTTGGTTTTGAGACATCAATACACCAATAAACACTCATTCCACTATGTGGGTTGTGAGACATCAAGCTACCAACAAACACTCATTCCACTAGGTGGGTCGAGACATCAAGCTACCAACAAACACTCATTCCACTAGGTGGGTAAATAGTTGTGAGATATCAAGACACCAACAAACACTCATTCCACTAGGTGGGTTGAGACATCAATACACCAACAAGTCATGCGCCCTCGGCTTCCGTTCATTGTAACTATGGAGTCTGAACTGCGAGGTTTATATAGCTTCTTTATTATGAGGACCCTGATTCAATGCAGCTTCCAAGTTAATATAAACTTATATTGCTTTACTACTGCTGTAAATCAGCCCTATTTGCAATTTAATTGGAATAATTTCAACTCACACTTGATTATTTCGTGTACAAAGAGATTGGTGGGCCGCAGCACTCGTCCTGCTCCTCGCTTGAAGGGCAGCGTCACACTGGCCGGCCCGGCTTGACTTGAGTCTTGACGCTTGAGCATCGCATTACTTGACACTTGTTTGTTACTGCGACCGTTACTCGTTCCTCCGCTAGGTGTTTTTGTTACTACGCTGTAACTTAACTATTTCAAGACCCCACTTTGAATTGCAGGAAATTATTAAATTATCGTGAATGAATGGACTAAAGACGAATTTTGGTATACTCGAACTAAAATAAATTTTGCACAGGCGAAGAGGCAAGCACTACAGGGCAACCCTCATACGCATTTATCCTCTGTGACTAAGACGCAATTACGCCCTCAACAAGAAGGCTATTCATGAAGGAGTAATTCAATATGGTCAGTTCTGTGTAAACTTGCGCCTCTAAGCTCTTGCTGATAATTTTTCTGTCACGTGATGTTACGGCGCAATTTTCTTTCATAGAACGAGGCGTTCTGCGGCGTTGGTACGGTGACGTCATCGTCGTCACTCAAAACTGCCCGCCACACTCTGCCGCAGCCGTAGGTTACTGTGTGCACTGTACGGTTGTGTGTGCAACGCATGTGCGGTTGCTGTGTGCACTGGTACGGTTTCTGTGTGCACGGGTACGGTTGCTGTGTGCACTGGTTCTGTTGCTGTGTGCACTGTACGGTTGCTGTGTGCACTGGTACGGTTGCTGTGTGCATGGGTACGATTGCTGTGTGCACTGGTTCTGTTGCTGTGTGCATGGGTACGATTGCTGTGTGCACTGTACGGTTGCTGTGTGCACTGTACGGTTGCTGTGTGCACTGGTTTTGTTGCTGTGTGCATGGGTACGATTGCTGTGTGCACTGTACGGTTGCTGTGTGCACTGGTTCTGTTGCTGTGTGCATGGGTACGATTGTTGTGTGCACTGTACGGTTGCTGTGTGCACTGTACGGTTGCTGTGTGCACTGGTTCTGTTGNGCACAGAGCTGGGATCGAACCCGCAACTCTCTGTGCCAATTAATCTTGTTAGTCTGAACTGTAACCACTGGGTCAGCTTCGAGGGGAAGGGGAAGATTGAACTCCAGAAGTACTGAACATTGACATGTATTTGATGCTTCGTTATTACGGGTAGGAACAACATGAGGATGGGTTGCGTGAAAATTGAGTTGCAACGCTGCATTCAAAACTTGATTGTGCCAGTCTTGACTTTAACGAAATAAACTAGAGTGTCATGAAATTTATTTTTACTTGCTGAGAAAATTTATTATTGGCACACAAGTGAGAAATGCATGTAAATTGTACAAATTATCACTGATGATGAGGTACTGGTGGTTGCCTGCTCGTGTCCACGGAATGCTCTTATAGTTCAATTTATATTTATTAAACTTATTGTCACGGCAAACCTATCTTCTCCTAGAGTTTTGAAGCTACAGCGATGAGACATATATATACCATTCGATTTTTAAAGGCCATACCTAGCGAGTAACGAAGCCTTTTTTTAGATTTGTGCATAGTTTGGATTCAAAATAGGGGGGAATTTGAAGAAAATGAGAAAAAATTAGAAGAAAACGGAAAAATGCGTATAAAAAAACGGAGGGAAAAATAAAAAATCGGGCTTCGTTACTCGATTGGTATGGTCTTTACAAATCGAATGGTACATGTCTCATCGCTGTAGCTTTAAAACTCTAGAAGGGAGATAGATTTTTAAAGTACACCCCTTTTTGTCCGTTTTTTATGAATTTCACGTTTTCTATTGATTTTTCCGAAAAAAATAATATGATCAAAATGTGTTTGTTTTTCGGTTTTACATATATGTGTGAAGTTCTCTCATCAATAAAGATGGTTCTCGACTTGAGACGTTGATCCACTCCTGTGCGTTGTCGAAAATCGATATTATTCTCAATTAGCAGGTCCCCGTCACTCGAACTGCAATTAAAAACAATAGAGATTAATAACCTAACGAACTAAGTGACAACAAAATACAGTTATGTTGAATAAAGAAGAGAATAATAAACGATAATTTTTATTGGATTTTCAGTCAAGTTTAATTCGGAATAGCGCCAGACGACGAGATTGAGAAGCGTGAAATCCGACTGTGCGCTGAGGAAGTTCAACGTGAATTAGGTTTCAGCAATTGAAATAATATCCGATAAAAGCACGTTAAATGTTTTAAGATCAAAGCAACATCCGTTTGTGCGGCTTTACGATGGCACGAGTCTCTTCAAATTAATTTCTCCGTCTTTTCAAGTGCTCCTCCTCTTCTTTCCCCCTCGTTTATCGATCAGCCTCTTCAACAGCTTTCCCTCCTTCCTCTTCCATTCACTCAAGTTGCTGACCAATTTCTTCAACTGCAGTCGCTTGGCCCTGCAGTCTTTTTTCGATGCCGTTTGATGGTCTTCAAGCCACGCCAGAACGTCCTCACACTCAGACTCACTGTGACGCATTTTTTCCATTAGCGCAGCAACTTCCTGCCTTACACAATATACCATTTCCTCGAGCTGCACCATAGCCTCCACTCTAGCTGCCTCCTTCTGGCTGTCCTTCTCGAAACCTTCGATTCGACTTTTCATCTTGCGGCCAAGCCTGCGCTCCCTCAATGAGAAAGCTCGAGGCCCTGCGAAGTGAGTGATGGCTTCGCTGGTCTTGAACGAGGCATTGAAGATCCCGTCATCGTCGACTTCAAAGTTAATCTCATACCTTTTTGACGTCGGCATTGAATTTTCGCGATTCAGCGTGCAGGAGGAAGCTTCAGCACCCGGAAGAAGGTATGAAACTTTTTCATGGAATATTGGTGATCTGCGTGAACGTGAACCGCTAATGGTGTGGTTGAAAGGTATTCTCGTCCTTCCGAAAGTAAGATCATCGATGTGATTTCCAGTGAGCATGTAGATGGGATGGCAAGATATCTCTCTGACCGCGACTTGGGCAAACTGTTCGTCTTCCTCAAGCATGGCTGCCTTTATTGCCGCACCTGCAGCAACACATTCGTCTTGGTTAACAGTTTTTGTTAACTTGCTACCAAAAATTTTAATCAAATATCCCTCAAGTCCAAACAAACGCATTGAGCCACCAACAGGTAGCACTTTGTCGACATCCTTGAGATTCAAGCCTGCCTCGGACACGCAACGCGAGACGTGAAAGTAAATTTCCTTTTCCAGAACGCAACTCCAACGCTGTGTGAAGAGGCGCTTGCTAATCTTCATCCTGAAGTCGATGTTTCCCGAGAGGTTGTCCACTTCTATAAATGTTTCGGGAAGCAAGGAGAGAGTTTTCTTAGCCTTCTCGCATGCTCGCAGGAGTCTCACCAACGCTTTTCTGTCATCCAAGATGTCTACATTGTGGGATTGTTTAAATTTTTCGGCAGCCAGGTGCACCATCCACATGTCCAAGTCGTAACCACCGAACGTCGGGCAACCACTTGTAGCTAACACCTCGAGAGTCCCGGCCTGCAGCGCGACCAGCGAAACGTCTAACTTTCCGCCGCCAAAATCAACGACCAGCAGTTTTTCCTTGGTAAGGAAGTTAGATACCGCCGAGTATTGCAGCGCAGCGGCAGTTGGCTCGTTGATTAACGAAATTTTCTCCATTCCAGCCAACTCTGCCGCCTGTTTCGTAGCCAACCTTTGTTCGTTGTTGAAAGAGGACGGAACGGAGACAACGACACGAGATACCGCGCAGCCAAGGTGGGTTTCGGCGACCTTTCTCGCCATGGAAAACATGGATGCTGCAACCTCCTCAGGAAACACAGAAATTTCCTCATTTTTATACGAAACTTTTATGGCAACTTTTCCATCGAGTTTTTTCATGCCACTGGGAAAGCACAAGATGCTCTCGGCTGAAATTTGTACGAGATTAGACTTGTTTGTCAGAGAATCTTTCACCTGTGAAGAAGTTCTGCCAATAATTCTTTTAACGGCTTGCACGGTGTTGGCACAGTTCAAAACACCCTGTTCGAAGGCGTCATTGCCCACCAGCACTTGCTGGCAGTCGAAGGCAACGCTGGCAGGAGTCGTCCTCTCCCCCGCGGGGTTGTCCACAATTCGCACGCTGCGCGACAAAGCCACGCACAATTTGCTCGTACCGAAGTCAACGCCGATCGCCGCCGACCTTGGCGGGCTGGCCGGTGCATGAGAGGGGCTTCCAAGCGGCATGCGGGTGGTCACCTGGAAAATATTATTTGCCAATCAAGCGAGAATTTACAACTACCAATAAATTGCACATCTCCTGAATAATTCACAAAAGAAAATTTTACAAATAATTCGAATTAAAACATAAAAATTGAACAAATAAGGAAGTATACAGTTATTGAATACACTACAAATTAGGCGAAAGAATAACAGAACTGAATGCACCGCAGCAGTGACACCACACTCAGCCCAAGTGACTATTTATTATGGGGTTACGTCAAGGAAATGTCGTATCGTGTCACGAGTTTTTGTATACCAGTGTCATATGCCTCCGCCGCCAGTGTATTGAGATACGCAGTCACGTGTGTTCTTTCAGTTCTTCGTCATTTTGAAACTTTGTCCCTGCCACGAAGTCCTTGAGTTTCGTACACAGATGAAAATCTGCAGGAGCCAAGTCCGGACTGTAGGGTGGATGGTCGAAAATTTCCCACTTAAATTTTTGGAGAAGTTGCGTTGTCCGAGCCGTATGCGGCCTGACATCATCGTGCAGGAGAATGACGCCAGTAGACAACAGACCTCGCCGTCGATTGTGAATTGCCCGCCGTAATTTTTTTAATGTTGCACAATATGCATTGACATTGATTGTGTCTCCACGGGTCATGAAATCGATGAGCAGTACACCTTGCCGATCCCAGAAACACTGCGGCGGCGGAGTAATATGACACTGGTATACAAAAACTCGTGACACGATACGACAAATGCTTAAATTTGTCCGGAGATTATGTAGAGAAGTAGTGTAATACACGTTCTTCTCAATAAACATGTTTACATTGGCTAATATTTACTTCAATTCCCAAACGAGGGTACTACCTACTTTCCGGATGCTCATCGTACTTAAATAAATAACAGTTAGTTTGATTGGGTCCATCATTTAGAATAATCCTGTTGTCCCTGTATAATAAATGTCACGGCCCACATACGATACTGATACGCGAACTCTTTTGGAGGTATGAAGGATTTATAGTAAATTAAGTTTCATTCAACAAAAGATTTGCTGCCAAGACAAGAACGTAACTTGACCAACAAAAAAGTGAAAACCACTGGCTGAAACAATACAAGCACAAGCGGCCATCTCTTTCTATTCACGTTAAAATTTCAATTAATACATATATATCATGCAAGAATTTTATAGGCATTACAAAAACACCGTTCGACACTCCAATTCTACAACTATAGAGAAAATAGGTGTACTTTTAAGCTATCCGGCACGGCACGCATCTTACCCAAAAATATTTATCTAAAGTTTTAAACTTCCTGTTCCAATAATTCGCATCCATCATTAAGTAATGCAAGCAATTGCAAGATAGACGCAACAATCACGAGCAACATGGCAGCCGCAGCACAGACAAGCAGCAGTTTTGACAGACGGCGAGGAAAGCTAATGTATCGCACAGTTACAAGTTTTGTGGCATGTCAAACCTAGCGCAGGAGTAATAAATGCAGTCAAAATCTTTGTTATATAAGCTTACACGACTTGAAGCTGATGGGGAGCTCATGTTAAGATGTGTTACCTTCTCTCCGGGACACGACAATCGGAACCCTGAAGTTACTGAAGACATGTTTTCGTGCTCACTGCTTTTCTCGATATGCAATGCCAAATACTTCCAGACAACCAAATTTACGCTTATTTAAAACAAACAAAATGGAAACTCAAATAAGACATAAATTTAAGACTTCATCCTAAGTACGGTATATGAATTAAGCATCCTGTTTAAATCAACATGTGTGCCGTTTTGAAAACGTGTTTTCTCATACGAAGTTTGTAGGCTGTTCGAAACGCGTATCAAACGAGTAGTGATCGACCGCGTTGCGGACCAAACAAATGCATATCTTCGAACTTCTCCATCTTGAATGAAAAATTGGATTTCTAATGAAAAAATCAGAAGATATATACTTTCAAATGCTATTAGATACATCAGGAATTATACTTTCGTAAGTTATTATATTCAAACATTCAGAGTTGATGCTCAGAGCATAAATGCGCTCAAGAAAAAACCGAATCGACACTTCTTCGGACTCCCGCGCAGGACTCCATGAAACAGGCAGATAAAGTTATGCAGAAGCATATTTTTCGAGTAGAAGTGCCTACATCTCACTAATTGGTGAATGTTCAGCAGCTATTCTGCTTCAACGTCAGTTTTGGATCGACCTGGTAAAAAGGACAGTCCCTAGATCTACATGAAAAAAGTCATGAGCATTTTGATGATCGGCCAAAATTCAACCCGGCATCATGGTTGAGTCATGCCCGGCATATACTCATAAGCAATCATAAAGCAATAGATACATAAGCATATACTCATAAGCAATAGATACATTAGCAATGCAGTGCTGGAGAATTTATTACAGTTTATACGTCATTTTGTCTTTGATTGAAATGCTACTTAAAAAAATTAGGTTAGGTTCTGATTTGTATGCTTAAGTTCGTTTTGATCGGAAGAGAAATGCCGTAAAAAATCTGCATTAATTTGTCAGCACCGCATTGTTAGTAACTAATTATAATCTTAATTACATGTAGATCTGTTCATAAAGAAGTTATGATTGGCGCATTAGGGCAGGAGGCGAGTTTGAGCCCCAATGTGAGTTTTCGTGTGAGTTATGAGAAGTGTCGATTCGGCCTCTTTTCGTTTTCAAGTCTCTTTTCTTCGATAGAATCAAAATGTTGCATGGACGAAATTTTTTGTTTCAATTTTCGAATTTTTTGGCATTTTTCCGTGCCTGCTAAAACACACTCATGTCCTGTCCTACATCGTTCTCAGAAAGCAGTCAGTGTAATTCCTACAGGGCGATGGCAAAGGAAGAGAGTGCACGTGTGAGTGTGACTGACGGTAGATGGTACCATGGATGGTACTGTGTGAAATAGTGATGGTGTGACCGCGTAGCTTCGTCTTGTGATGTGTTCGATCAATTCTGGGAAGTTTACTTAGTGAGGGTCAAAATTATTTGCAGTCTTCTATGATCTTAAATGAAATGTGAATTGAGTTCAAATTTTGAAAGTAAACTTAATTTAGATTGTAATATTGCATAATAAGCCTGAACGAGTTAAAAAAACATTGAACTCAAATGAGATTACCGTTGATCACAATATATGTTTACAGATATTATACGCAATTATAGCTCAGTTTACAGTAATAATTTTTTTTATGAATACAATATGAAGAAGATTTTCCAAATCGATGGCAGACGCTTTTAAATCTTCTCCATTTGTTTGCTCAATTATTGCTAATTTTGTCTATTCAGAATAGCTAGTTTGAATTCAAAGTCAATCATAGTGGGTCATTATCGATGAGCAACAACATAATNGTGTGAGGAGGCCATTTAAGCGCCACCTGACTGATATTATATATCTATATGAGGACAAGGATTCGTTGACTAAGTGCGTGAGGGATAAGTAAGACACCATCTGTCACAGAACTTATCTTGATAATGGTGGTAATGACTAATACGTGAGAGATATTATGGCGATACAAACAAGTTTAGGCTAAGACGTCGACCGTTAGATCGGAGCAACTAACGAATGTTAACTGGCGGCGTGCTAATTAGTTACTGGGGCCTTACTAAGGTTCCCAGCCCTATTATAGAATTATGACTTCCGTCCTCCGGGTTCTTGTCTTCGTGACGTATATGCTGCATAAGCTGTCGACTTAGCGTCTGAGTCAAGCTCTCAGTGACACAGTGGACTCAAAGCTAACTAGGTCTGCTAGTATTTATAGCCACAATTTACTATCCTACATATGGCTGCATGGAATATTGTAACATTGTGACGAATTTGCACAACAGACTGTGAGTTTAAAAGCACAGCATTTCTATCAGTGCCAGTGATTTATCGATATGCAATTAATGCAAAAAAAAACCTTAAGTGGTGCAAAAACAGTGTCTAGACATCAAAGATCGTAGCGCCCATTAAAGGCCCGATAGAATTCCAATGAAATATCTAAACATGGCGTGTGTGCTGTGCCCTTCTACGTAATCGGAGCAACCTCGGGGCCACGCCGATGGGGCAACAACAAAGGCGGTGCATCAGCGTGACCATGGACGCGGATGTTCAAAACTTTCCATAAAGATTTAAGACATAGGATCAACTTACTTACATCAGCAAAAGCTGAAAAGTTGGTACAATTATTAATTGAAAACTAATATCCCCCATAGATTTTCCATGTAATGTGAAGTTATTTATTTGATCGGTGGTAAACGATGGAAAATTTAATTAGGAAAATATTCAACCCAGCAATTCCCATTAGCGCCAGAGGCGAAAGAAAACAAAATCTTTCAAATGCATTTATTTATTCCAGTAATAAAATCCATTCATACATTATTAATGAATGTGAATGGTCAGTTTGCTGCGACATCACAAAATCTCAAGACTGCTACAAAAGTTATATTAATAATACTTCTTTAAGTAAAGATAAATACCAGTAAATCTTCTAGCAAATAGCAAAATGTTCATTTGTACAACCTGCTAAACAAATTCAAATCGGAGCTGGAATATGTGCAGACGAGAACCGATGTGTTCTTGGAACTCGATGATGCTGTTCATGAAATCCAATGATGTGTTCGTGGAACTCGAAAATATGGTCGTGAAACTATATGATGTGTTCCTGAAACTAAATGTTGTGTTTGTGGAACTTGATGTGTTCGGGAAACTAGATGATGTATTCGTGAAACTAGATGAAATGTTCGTAGAACTCGCTGATGTTTTCGTGAAACTAAATGTTGTGTTCGTGGAACTAGATGGTGTGTTCGTGGAACTATAGATGGTAAGTTCGTGACAATACTTAACACCAGTCTGAAAAAACGACAATCTAGACACTTGTTCCACAAAATATTCAAAATTTAAAAAATACACACACGCTGCTCACCACAGCCTAGCTTGCATCACACAAGGCAAAAATAACTTCATCAATATCTATCAGTGTTCCATCAGTGATCAGCGAGACTCCAACCTTCCAGCAGCGTTACGTCAGCGCTTAATCAGTCCTCCATCAACGCTCCATCAGCACCCTATCAACGCTCCATCAGCACTCCATCAGCGCTCCATCAGTCCTCCATCAGCACTCCATCTACCAACAGCGCGGTTCTTATTACGTCGAAATTCGTAGGTCGTAGGCCTATGGCCTTAAGAACACAGCCGTGTGCATGAAATCTGCTCTAACTGTAATTTGAGCTCATAAGATCAATGGTGAAATAACTGCAGTATTACTATCCTCACATTCACGTCAGTGAACGAACCACATACTCGGCAAAAGTAGGAAGCCCACAAAAAGTCACAAAAAAATGTAAAATGTCTGCTGAAGGGCCACGTAGGCAGGAAGAAGTTAATTTGAATTAAGCCCTCATGTATCAGAAGGAAGTCTGCTGAAGAGAGAAGAAACAAAAAGTTTCGAGGAGAAAATTCCACTTGATACAGTTTCGACAGGCCGTGAGCACAGGATTGCCAATATTTTACTTTATTTTGGCTTATTTTTAACATCGATTCCGATATCAAAACCACAACAGAGTTAGCACGACAATCAACATCAAAATTCACGCACTTCGATTCGAAGTTTTAATAAAATAAACAGTAATTTTTACTTCAGTTGAAGTCTGAAACCCGCCGCGTTCGTGGGGGTGCAGGGGTCGGGTAGTAGAGAGGGCTGGACCGCGACAGAGGGGCTCGGTTTTGGTCGGCAATTGGCAGGCCGCTGAAACCCTGCACATGCCGCCGGCGCGTCGGCTGGCGAAGAATTTTACGTACAGGTTTTGGAGGGACAGATGCATTGTTCGCGGAGCCACCCACCGAAAGCAGCGATAACGCTCTCTGCAGCGACGTTTTTCTCCTGGTGGGGGGATCTTGCACGTAGATTGTTGGTAGACGTGACTCCTCGTCCTGCCCTTTGCGGTGTTTGCTGGGGAGTTTGAGAGACACGGCGCGTCTTGGTCTGAGACTCGTGACAGCCGAGACGCCTTCAACGGTCAACGACGATCCCCGAGGAAAGTTGTCTGCAGATTTCACCGACATGACGGAGGCCAGGGAGCTGCGGCCTGAACTCGAGCCTCTGGAATTTTTTCTGGAGCCCAAGATTGAGCTGACTTGCAGGAAGGTGCTGGGGGGCACGCACCTCCTGCAGGAGGCGATCGGCTCCATGTCATCACCGTCTGCGGAAACGCAGTGACAATTGGTGGAATCGCGGCGGTAAACTACGGCGACGCGGTGACTATCGACGCTGTTTCTACGAAAATCGGTGCTGTCGTAGTGGTAATGTGCGTTGACGCGGCGGCAATCTGCGCTATCGCTGCGGCAATCTGCTCTGCCACTGCGGTAATCTGCGCTATTGCGGTGGTAATCTGCAAAGTCACTGCGGTAATCTGCGCTGTCACGGTGGTAATCTGCGCTATCGCGGTGGTAATCTGCAAAGTCACTGCGGTAATCTGCGCTGTCACGGTGGAGATCTGCGCTATTTGGCCGTCGCAGGGGCAGCTTAGCGCTGTCAGGCCACCGATGCCCTGGACGTAAGTTCTCCTTGTCGGCAGAGCGATGACAACAAAGGCCCATGTGGGGCATTGTTCTCCACTGCACGTCTCCTCCACTGCACGTCTCCTCCACTACACGTCTCCTCCACTGCGCGTCTCCTCCACTGCACGTCTCCTCCACTGCACGTCTCCTCCACTACACGTCTCCTCCACTGCGCGTCTCCTCCACTGCACGTCTCCTCCACTGCACGTCTCCTCCACTGCACGTCTCCTCCACTGCACGTCTCCTCTACTGCACGTCTTCAACACTGCGCACACCTTATTGTGTTGACACCGCGGTCATTACACCGTCTTCTAATCTGAAAAAGTTGAGGATATCGTGAGCGCCTGCCCAGCGTGCTGACTAGCCTGCAATGGGTCAGGGGCCATACTTTCAAAACTCGCTAAGTGAACGTAAGTGCTTACGCTCTATTTTCTTGTCAATGATTGGTGGATTTTGCTTGAAAGGCCGTCAATGATTGACTGATGAACTTACGATCTCTTAACTTTTTTTTGAAAAGTATAGGCCCAGGTCCGTATTTCTGGGGTATCTTGGCCGAAGATTCCCTCCAGCAACAAAGCCTCCTACGGCTGCTCCCCATGGAATACCAGCCTAACATCCCTCTTCCCCTTGCCACTCGCACCCTATGACATTTTATCCTGAGACGCTGTCCCCAACGACATCGTCTATATGACCTACCCAACCTAACCCCATCTCGACGCTGTCCCCTGTGACCTGTTCTCACCGTGCCACTCACTGTCTCTGAGCCTATACGTCATGTTAATGACAATTGGGTATTACTATAAGATAAATTAAAACGTAATTGTCCTAATATTGACCAAGCATTTATAAGGCTTAATAAATATCCTTCACTCTTTTCACGAGGCGAGCAGCAACCCATTGGTCGCATTGTCCATAATGCGGCATGTAAGCAATACAATAGGCAGCCTATGATTTCATACCGACTACACTTAAATTATTGGTTCTATTGCATTACGCATTTATCTTCCAGGACACATTTTACTCGTAGTGATATCTAAAAGGATAGTCTATACGCAGAATATAATACCATTACCTAACTAGTTGTAATCAATCTGAATAAATCAATCGTCTGAATGAATAAACTAGTACCAATAAAGTCATCTGAATAAACTAGTTACATATATAAGGAAATACGTTAAGAAGGAGGTTTTCTCATTACTTTGTATCCTTAACAAAGAACTTGGAAGTAAAAGAGCCAAACTGAGGAACAGGGAAGCGAGTGAAGGAGCGAGGATCACAACCAGCACACCTGACCTACCAGCGGCTATAGGACAACTGGGCTGCCATAGTGCCATTGTGTTACCTTTCCACATATTATAGCTTTTGTTTCCTGCTTTAACGTGTTTGGCTATTACATCAAAAAAATTTACATGAATTCAGTTGGGTGCTAGTTCACTCTAGTTCTCGATTAATCATTAGCAAAGCATGATCTTCGTACACAGTAACAAACTGAAAAGGCGAAACCAAAAATTTCCCAAGCATTCAAGTTTTGGCTAATGCACATATCTACGCATTTTACTGAGTTGCAAGATTTTAAATTTAGTAAACACAAATAAATGAATTTCAACTTGGTGAAAAACTGCTTACATGAGATGGTATAGTTCCTAAATTTTGATTCATTTCTTTACAAATGAAGGTATTTCCTCAATTCCTTCATTTTCGTCTCTGCGTGAACGCGGCTACGCTGGCATGACGCACGGATGTCAGTCATTGACGCAGAATCGTGTTGACGCCGAAACGCCAGCTTTAATGAGGAAACCATTTAGGGACTTGCTTGCATGCGGTACCAATTTAAATAATTTATTATTTTAGTCGCATAAGCAATGGGAGGCCCGTGCTATACAGACGACCTAGTTGGTGGATGATAACCTAAACGAAATGGCAACGTGAACAAGTTGACATCGTGAAAGCGATGGCAACGTGAACGCGATGGAAACGTGAACGCGCTGGCTACGTGAACGCGTTGTGAACGAAGGAGAGCGTGCAAACTCCCTAGATTTGTATTGGTTTTCCTGGTCTGCATCCTATAACATAAAATCATAAATGAATGAGGTGACGGATTCTACAATCAGGCTACACACTTTCTCTGGCTACACACATTCTCATGCTACACACATTCTCATGCTACACACATTCTCTGGCTACACACATTCTCTGGCTACACACATTCTCTGGCTACACACATTCTCTGGCTANGTAAAGCTTTGTACGGTCGTAAAGCGTTGTACGGTCGTAAAGCGTTGTACGGTCGTAAAGCATTGTACGGTCGTAAAGCATTGTATCCGTAGAGCGTTGTACGGTCGTTAAGCGTTGTACGGTCGTAAAGCATTGTACGGTCGTAAAGCGTTGTACGGTCGTAAAGCATTGTACGGTCGTAAAGCGTTGTACGGTCGTAAAGCGTCGTACGGTCGTAAAGCGTTGCACGGTCGTAAAGTGTTGTACGGTCGTAAAGCGCCGTACGGTCGTAAAGCGCTGCACGGTCGTAAAGCGCCGTACTGTCGTAAAGCGTTGTACGGTCGTAAAGCGTTGCACGGTCGTAAAGCGTTGCACGGTCGTAAAGTGTTGTACGATCGTAAAGCGTCGTACGGTCGTTAAGCGTTGTACGGTCGTAGAGCGTTGTACGGTCCTAAGCGTTGTACGGTCGTAAGGCATTGTATGGCCGTAAAACACTATGTACGGTCGTAAAGCGTTGTACCCGTATAGAGCGTTGTACGGTCGTAAAGCGTTGTACGGTCGTAGAGTGTTGTTCGGTCGTAAAGTGTTGTACGATCGTAAAGCGTTGTACGGTCGTAATACATTTTACGACCGTAAAGCGTCGCACGATCGTACAGCGACGTAGGCCGTTGGCACAGTTATGACTTATGACACAGCTGCTCACGGCTGTCGTTTCTCACACTACTTGTTGCTTATCGAAAGCACACACACGACGTGCAGTGGTAGTAAGTAATGTACTGTAGTCATAAGTTATGTACGGTGGTTATAAGTTTTGTACGGTTATCGTAAGTGATGTAATGATGTGTAGTACGGCTGTAGGTAGCGCTGTGATCGTAGATTATGTAGTGGTAAGCCGTACTGTGATGGATGGAGCTGTGGTTGTAAATTGTACTAAAACTGTTAGTTGTATGACAATCGCGGGAGTTTTGAGATTAAATTTTCGCTTAGATCGGTGATAAGCTTGATTTATGTATGTTGTTCACACGATGTTGAAATGTTGTTTACATGTTGTTGACATGTTTATACGTTGTTGACATGTTTTTGGCATGCTATTTATGCTTTGCTCACATGTTGATGATGTGCTACCTACGGGCCACTAGCAACACGGTTGTCAGTTGACGTCCCACTGACGTTATTTACATGTTGTTGTCACTGCTACACGTTTTTTGCATGTTGTCATTGCTACACGTTATTTACATGTTTTTGTCACTCAGGGTGTCGACATATTGACGCTCCTATCATAAGATATTAGATAACGTAATTAAATAGAACGTGGAAACCCCCGCCTGCCACGGCAGTGCTCGGCTGCTGCTGGTAAGTAGCGTTGTGTGTCAGCCCTACAGAATCATGAGTAAAAATTGGAGCGATCATAACAAATATATTATTGGTACTGAATATTTAATCAATTACCGCGCCAGTTGCTAAAGGATTCATTTTCAATCTGATCCTCAAAATTGCTATACAAAGACTCGAACGTAAGTTCGAGATTTCTGTCAGGAGCATACACTCCTGACAGAAAGAAATCAGCCTAAAGAGATACAATTTTTCCTATCAATTGCAAATTTATCATAATGGGGAAAGTGACCTAAAATCTTTTACGCGCACAGAATAATTGTCGAGATATCCAGCAGCAGTGCTGCCCCCATCACAATTGACCAATCATTCAGCAGACCTGAAAGCGTCGTTCGTCAAACGCCGGAGTGGTTAATTTATCAATTTAATCATCACGAGACTCTAAAAAAAGATAATTTAATTAAGTTTAAGCTCTTAATTTTTATATTCTCAAACTGCGCTGATCGTAAGTTTATAAAAATTTCATGAACTATTTCGAATTCTCTCCTGGCTGATGGTGCAGTCAGTAATACCGAGCATAATAATACCTGGCTTAGAGGCCTACATTCATTTATGCGGCCTCCTTTAAGGCAGCCAACCTTCATAGATTGCGTCCTCAATAATAATCATCATCCACATCATCACCGTATAATAATCTTCATCGAAACTTTTGCTCTTTAAGTGCCAAAACCAGTCACTTTTTCCAGCGTCTGGTCACCCTCCTGTGTAGCTTCAAAAGTTCGAATGCAGGGAAAATTTTTGTGGAGTCGTGCAGGGCGTAAATTTTAAAGTTCAAAATATTAGAGGAGAAAAACGCGGCTGGCGACGTAGTTGTCATGCGCCTGACGCCTTGGAAGCACTAGATGAAGTAATAGGTGGCCAGCAGAAAGATGAAGATAAAGCCAGGGTGGCCGCCTCCACTAGATGAAGCCAGGGTGGCCGCCTCCACAGGGCTGTCCCACAACGAGGAGACGCTGAGGAACGTGGGGAAGGAGAGACAGGCAAAGAGATGCTGGACGGACTGGAGGGGATCCCCACACTTCGGGCAGGCGGTCCTAGGGGAGCATACAACCCTAATGGTGTAGGACGCCAGGGAACTACAGTATCCCGAGCGGAGCTGGGTTAGCGCCGAGCAGTAAGGGCGAGGAAGCGAGGCCACTTTTGATGCAAGCGGTGAGGCTGCAAGGACAGTGTTGTTATCGTCGATCGCCGCAACGCGGGAGGCGATCCATGGTTAACTAGTATAAGGTTGACCATGAGAAGCTCATTTTTGCGGATGGAGCTTTTTTTTCCCCTGTGACGTTACTGATCTCAATGACGTCACGGGCATTTACCAATCACTGAAATGCGTTAAAACCAGTCAACCAATCCGTCATGGGAATGACGGGTTTGTTTGCGTTTCTCGATTTACGTGACGTAACAAGAAAGCTGAACTGAAAGGCGGAACTTCTCATGGGTCAACC